TTTGTTTTTTAAAGATTTATTTATTTACTTGAAAGTCAGAGTTACACAGAGAGAGGAGAGGCAGAGAGAGAGAGAGAGAGAGAGAGAGAGAGTGTTCCATCTGCATCTGCTGGTGCCCCCTCCAATTGGCTGCAATGGCCGGAGCTGTGCTGATCTGAAGCCAGGAGCCAGGAACTACCTCTGGGTCTCCAACACGGGTTCAGGGGTCCAAGGACTGGGCCATCTTCTATTGCTTTCCCAGGCCATAGCAGAGAGCTGCGTCAGAAGTGGGGCAGCAGGGACTTGAACTGGCGCCCATATGGGATACCGGCACTGCAGGCGGTGGCTTTACCCACTGTGCCACAGCACCATTCCTTCATTTGTTTTTGACATATAAAATCAGAATAATTTCAACAAAAATAAACTCCCACAGTACTTAGTGGCTGTGACTGTATTACATGCATGTACACCTTGGAATACATTATACTCTATTTATTGTGCAAACTAAAAAGAAAATAAAGTTTCCTGGGGTATTTGTTTAACACACTTGGAACTCAGTTTTGGCATGGCCAGCCCTTGTGTGCTGGGTGAAGTAAATCTGCAGACAGAAACTTTGAATTATATGTCTCTTAACCAAAAATGTTTTTTGGGTTTTGTGTCGTATGTATACACTATTCAAAATTTTTATTTATTTAATTATACAAGTGGATGAGGGAACGATGTAAAAACAAAACAAAACAAAACAAAACCAAAAACAGTTGCTCCAAGCTCCAAGGAAGCTTGGAGGCTGGCTCTGGTGCTATGTTCTCCATGTGCAGGGTCTCATTCTGGGAGCAGGGAGCTTGTGCAGAGAGAGCTAGGGATGGGTGCCTGCTGTCCCGTGGCTGGCAGGGGCAGTGTGGAGGGAACTGGCAGGGAGGGAAGACCGCTGTGAGCCGAGGGGCAGGGCAATCACCAATTCTGAGGAAGAAGCCGCAAGAATCAGTGAAGACAGCACTCATCTGCTTGGCCAACAGTCGGGGCTAAGCCAGCCTGCAACCCCAAGAGAGGGCAATTTCAAGCAAGCTGCTGCCAAAGGCAGAGGCTGGGAGGTTCAACAGGACGTGGGCCAGGGGGAATGCACAGACCGGCAAAGGCAGCCTGCGTGTCCCAGCTCTGCAGAGCTCTCCATCGGGAGACAAGCTTCCAGAGGCAGCAGGGTGACGGCCACAGGTGGTCTGGAGCGTGGAAGTGGGGTGGTGGGGAGGGGGAGAGGGTCAGATGGAAAGCTTAGTCTCAAGGGTCAAGGGATTCGAGTTCGTCTTCTTGCTGCAGACACCAAGGGCCTCACAGGTTTTCTTCTGGGGGCGCCATCTGATCAGGGCTCTGCTTAGACACAAAGAGCCCTGAAATGATGATATCGAAGCTGGAAGCGACGTCAGCCATCCCCGGCGCTGGCCCTCTCCTTGTGCAGCGAGTGACCTGCCAACATCATCAAACCCTTCATTGAAAGGCAGAAACAAAGCCGAGCGAAACAATGCAAGCCCCAAATCCTTCCTGTCGCTGACCCTGGGTCACCATCCTATTTCTAAGAGACACATCTTAATTACCGGCAACTCAGCTTCTTCATTGTCTCCGTGCTCTGTCGCCCTCTGAAACACCACCCTGGAACCTTTAGGCTGGACGGACTCAAGGCAATGATGTGAGGCTGATGGCTTATTTTTCACTCCTTTGCTATCCCTGTGACCATCTGAGTTAAGTAACACTGCTAAGTTATATAAAAAAAAGCGCTTGAACAAATGTTAAGACTGCATTCGAATGGAGCAGGTATATGGTGATTAAGAATCCTGTAGCCCACATCAGAGTACCTGGGTTCAATTCTGGCCTCTGGTACCTGACTCCAGCTTCTTGTCAGTGTAGACCCTGGGAGGCAGTACTCGTGACTCATGACTGCCTCCCACATGAGAGACCTAGGCTGAGTTCCCAGTTCTTAGCTTTGGCCTGGCCATTGTGGGCATTTGGTGTATGAACCAGTGAATGAGAGCATTCTCGGTTTTTTTCTTCCCTCTTTTCTTCTCAAATAACTATCTATCTATCTATCTATCTATCCATCCATCCATCCATCCAGCTATACCCACCATCCTCCTATCCACTCATCCACCATCCACCCATCCATCCATCCATCCATCCATCCATCCAGCTATACCCACCATCCATCCATCTACCATCCACCCATCTATCCATCCACCCATCCACCTATCCACACACTCATCCATCCATCCAGCTATACCCACCATCCTCCTATCCACCCATCCACCATCCACCCTTCTATCCATCCATCCACCCATCCATCCATCCATCCATCCATCCATTAATTCAAGTCGTGACGCTAAGTCCTCTTGTATCGCTGAGCCTACATTGTAATGTGGTGGAGAAAGACCATTCTAGGCAGTGGCTATGAAGAAAATCCTTGCAGGAAGTGACAGGAAGAGTGTAAGGAAGATGGGGCAAAAAGGACAAGAGTCAGGGTTGGGTGGGAAGAGAGATTGGTTCTGGGATGATGATTCGAGTACCACCAGGGGAAGTTCTGGGGCAGAACCATCCAGGCCTTGGAGAGTTCAAGGAAGCCAAAGAAGGGCAGAGTGGCTGGAGCTCTGGGAGCCGGGAGAACATGTGGTGTGAGAGTTGGTTAGGGTCTTCATGCCATCTGCAAATGCAAGGGTTAAGGGGGCTTGTGGTACCTGGGGTCTTTGTGTCTCATAGAGCAGGTGACACATGGGTTACATCTTTTATTAAGAATATACTTCTTGGAGGGAGGGAGGGAGGGAGGGAGAGAGAGAGAATGAGGATGAACACACTCCCATCCACTGGTTCACTCCTCACAGCAGCTGGACCTGGAACTGGGAGCCAAAGCTGGGGTCCAGGAACTCAGTCCCAGTTCTCACAGAGGCGGTAGGAACCCATCGACACTGCTGGAATCAGGAGCCGGAGCTGAGAATGGAAACCAGGCGCTCCGAGGTAGGAAGCAGGTGCCCCGACAAGTGTGTTAGCCCTACCCCCAATGCCCACCTTAGAGGGCTGGTTGTGAAGGAAGAAAGTTGTACTTGGGCCAGGTGAGGTTATCATGGGTTACGGGTCACGCGAGGCTCAAGTTGGGGGCAAGGAAGGGTGAGAATAGAAGCGACTCGAGTTGTCCCTTAATCATGTTGGCAGCACTTGCTGGGTGTCTTCTCTTATATATCCCTCATGATTCCCATGTAAGCTGGGCACTTCTTATCCACGAACGTGTAAAAGGAGCGTCAGTGGTCAAGGATCACTTTGGGGGCTTGCTGTCGAGAGGCGGTGTCTGGTGGAGATACGGTCGCCCTCTGCATCTGCAGGTTCAGCATCCATCGATTCAACCAACTGGTGACCCGAAATCTGCAGGAAAATATTGCACCTGCAGGGAACACGGATAGTCTTGTGTCCTTGTCATGATTCTCTAATGATCAGCAGAACAACCACTTATCGTAGCAGTTACTGGATTCAACGTCGTTTAGGGGTGAAAGTGTGTTGGAGGCTGTGCTAGGTCATGGGCAAGTGCTGCACCGTTTTACGTAAGGAGTTGGAGCACCGTGGATGTTGGCATCTGCAGGCGCTCCTGGAAGCCATGCCCTGAGAATATCAAGGATGAGCACACATCTGTGTAAAGCTCTGGAGCTACTAGAAATGGCACTCAGTCAACAAGGAAAGGATGAATGAAATAGGGCGAGATGTGGATTTATAAGTAAATCCTCAATGGATGGCATTGAACTTGAGGAAGTAAGTGAATGTCTACTTGTGGGCACTGAGACGGGGTTGCTGAACTGATGGTTAAATGCACTCTACTTTGCAATAAGGGCTTCCTATGGTCATGTGGTGGCCGTGTGTCTTTTTTGGGTCAGCAAGTCTTTGATCTCCATTCCTGGGTTTATACAGAGTCCGTTTCCCAGGGAAGAAGTGACAGAGCTTGTCACACAGATGTGGGGTCGCAGGACCCAGAACCTGAGAGCAAGATGCACCTACTTGATTCTTATTTGAGAGGCACAGGGAGCACACTCCCCCTCCATCAGTTGGTTCACTCTGCAGTGCCTGCAATGGCCAGAGCTGGGCTGGGCACGGAGCTGGGAACTCAGTCCAGATCTGTAGGAGCTGGAGCCAGGAATTGAACCAGATACCCAGATTCGTGGGCTGTGAACCTCTTAGCCAGCTAGCGAGGCCAGGTGCCTGGCCCTGCCTGATCTGTTGACAAACGAGGACACACAGAATCAGTTGTGGTCGATCGTGGAGATGGATGAGAGAACTGGAGGTGGTGGCCGGAGGCTGCAGGCTGCAGGTTCCAGGGTGGTGTGCAGGATTTCAGTCTGGTGGTGCCGGCTCCTGTCTGAGCCCCAGAGCAGTTCCTGTAGCGTCTTCCACTTCCCTCATTTTGACTTCATTTAGTTTGTTTTCGTAACGAGCCTCCCGGTTCATTTTAAAAGTCTCCTGTGTTCCGTGGAGTTGAACGTGACTTTCCCTTATAATCTGTTTGTCTCTGCGGTGTCTGTGGTTATTGGCCTTTTCTCATTGCTGGTGCTGTTTATATTTCATCCCTTCTCTTGAGCTTGGCCTGACTTAAAGAGGGTTTTCTGTGTGTGTGTGTGTGTGTGTGTGTGTGTTTTAAACAACCAACTGTTTGTTTTACTTCTCCGTTATGTCATTTCCTTCTTTATTAAAAAACTGGTTTACGATTTTTCCTATTAATTTTGTTTTGTGTGGTTATTTATTTATTTATATTTTTGCTATCTCCACGTGTCAAGGGCACGTCAATTAGTGCATTAGTTTTACATCTAGAAAAACAATTCATCCTATAGGTTTTCTTCCCTGTACTGCTTTGACCGAACACCCCAGGTTTCTGGATGGGGCTTCCTAGTTGGAATTCGGCTTCAGCTTGTTAACTCCATGTAGCACCAGATCTATGGGAACAGCCAAGTGCTCAGATCTTCTTTTGTGATTAACTTCTTCTTCTTCTTCTTCTTTTTTTTTTTTTTTTTGACAGGCAGAGTGGACAGTGAGAGAGAGAGAGACAGAGAGAAAGGTCTTCCTTTGCTGTTGGTTCACCCTCCAATAGCCGCTGCGGCCAGTGCACCACGCTGATCCGATGGCAGGAGCCAGGTACTTATCCTGGTCTCCCATGGGGTGCAGGGCCCAAGCACTTGGGCCATCCTCCACTGCACTCCCAGGCCACAGCAGAGAGCTGGCCTGGAAGAGGGGCAACCAGGACAGAATCTGGTGCTCCAACCGGGACTAGAACCTGGTGTGCCGGCGCTGCAAGGTGGAGGATTAGCCTAGTGAGCCGTGGCGCCGGCCGGTGATTAACTTCTAGTTTCATTATATTCTGAGAAAGTAGGGTGAAGCGTTTCAATTCTAAAATACACACTGAGATATTTTTTTCCTGACCCGAGCATCAATTTTTGAGTGCTCTAAAGATCTATCATGGAATTTATACTCACTGTTGGGATGCAGGAATGCTCTCACATGTGACGCAACCACACTGCCATATGTGTATCCAAGGGTACTTAAAAAATTCATGGCAAATGGAATTAAAAGATAAGTTTATTTTGGCGCAAACATTTATCCATATATTTAAAGATGTATTTATTTATTTATTTATTATGAAAGTCATGGTTACTGAGAGAGAGAGAGAGAAACAGAGAGAGAGAGAGAAAGAGAGAGAGACAGAGAGAGACAGAGAGAGAGACACAGAGAGAGAGAGACAGAGAGACAGAGAGAGAGAAAGACAGAGAGAGACAGACAGAGAGAGAGAGAGAGTCTTCCATCCGCTGGTTCACTCCCCAGGTGGCTGGTGCTGGACCATGCCAAAGCCAGGAGCCAGGAGCTTCATCTGGGTCTCACGTGGGTGGCAGGGGCTCAAACACTTGGGCCATCTTCCTCTTCTTTTCTCAGGCAGAGAGCTGGATTGGAAGTGGGACAGCTGGGACACCATCCAGTGCCCATATGGGATGCTGGCATCGCAGGGAGTGAGTGGTGTTACTTGATATGCTACAATGCCGGCCTCTAAAATATATTTTCATAAGGTATTCTTGGAGCTTCTGGGTGTGATGTTATGTATTGGGTGTTTGCAGAATGTTCGTTTGGTGTATTCAGAGCTGAGAACTATGCTAAACACTAGAAACACAATTGTAAATAATAAAGAAAAATCCCACCAGCGTCCAAACTTCATGCTTCAGACATTCCAGTCATGGGAACAAAGAATAATCAAGCAGGTAAATACCCACTAATTTAAAAGAATTCTGATCTATCATCTATCTATCTATCTATCTACCTACCTACCTACCTACCTTCATCTCTAATCTATCAATCTACCTATCGAGTTGTCATATCTATTTCTATCATCTATCATTCATCAATCTATTTACCTATCATCTCTGAATCTGCCATTCCATCATCTATCTGTATCTATTTACATATCAATCATCAATCAATCAATCAATCAATCTCCTGTTTTTCTTTTTCTGGAGAACACTAATATGGATATCAATATTTTTATGTAATTTTAATACAGTTTTGTTATTAAACAAAATAATCTTGGACTTCCCATCCCCATCTATATGCTTCTGTCATGTAATTTAATCTATTCTCACTTATAATAATTTTTGATAAATTTGGTCTCATTCATGACATTTTCCTAGATGTTTTTTATGAATCATTCTTTAGTTTTCAACATTGCTTTGCCTTTCTGCTGGGTTTTGTATTGGGGCATGTTTTTGTTATTTAAAAGATATTTCTTTAAAAGGCAGAATGACAGACAGAGGGAGAAACATGGAGAAAGTATGCGTGGCGGGGTGGGGGGGTTCTCCGTCTACTTTGTTGACTCTCCAAATGGCTGAAATGACCCAGGCGAGGCCAGGCTGAAGCCAGGATCCTGGAACTTCATTTGGGTCACCAAAGTGTTTGGGGGCATCCTCAGGTGCCTTGAGCCAAGGAGAAAGCCAGTCAAGGTCAAGGTGAGTGCAGTTGGCATCCACTGCATCCTATTCTATTTCAGGTGCAACAAGCATTCTAGCAGTTTATTAATAGAGTTTTTTTTAATGACTCAGAGTGAATTCTGGCCCGCCATGAGAGCCTGCTCTGTGGGAGAGCCTAGCATAGCCTGCCTTTCTGGATTGCTGGTCACACAATTGGACCATTCACCCTGTTCCGGGCACTCCTGTACTTACTTCCTCCTCTCAGGATTAAACAATCCATTTCTCAGGGCTTTGGTTTTATGTGCCGTTGATCTACGATTCCATTTCTCTAACTTCTTTCCCACAGTCAATAGCTTTTTACTACCTGTGACCAAAAACAGCCAACAGCCGGCCAAGGCAGAGTTAATTTATTTAGAACAAAGAAACCCATCTATGATGTGACTGGGGGGACAAGTGTTCAACCTGCTTGCTTAGGAAGGCTGTGTGGCCCGGGCAGCTGTTGGACGTTCTGTTCGCTTTTCAGCGAGTTGTTTTTGCCTTCTGTTTCTTATTACACTGTGGATCTCTTTACCACACTGACAATTAAGGAGCCACATTTCTTCTGCTGGAGTCCACGTGTCTGAAGGCCATAGGTGGGCACGTGCACAAATGCCCGTGGAAAATGGCTTTTTCTGGAATATCAGGTTTGGTCCTCAGAGGCCGGAGCACTCCATGTGGTGAACCACGCGTTTGAATTCGGCTGTGTTTAATTAAGGTAATTTTCCTACTTAGCTCCAGATGTGGAGATGAGATTCAATTTTTATTGTGTCTCAAGGAAGATGTCCCTCCAAGCACGTGTGTCACCGGAATGGAATGCAGCCACAGATCCGCATGGGACGAGGCTCTGTCTCCTGCAGGAGATGAGTTCTCCTCGCCTTCTTCCACTCCTGAATTTTTCCTTTGTTGGATGTGGTTTGTAAGGTGAAGGAGGGTCCTTATATAGCTGGCGGAGGGCAGGTGGTGCGCAGAGAGAAGGTGGTGGAGAGAAAAGATTCCTGGTGGTGTGTTCTTGCCTCATACAGCATCTGTGAACAAAGGTTTTGATTACCCAGGAAGGTAAAGGCCAAGGATCCACACTCCTCCCCAGCTCTTTTACAAAGTCGTTAAATGTTAAGGGGGTGGCCTACATCTCCTTGCAAGTCTGTGACAGTTAACTTGATTGGTCAACTTGACCGCCCGAGCGAAGGGATACCCAGATAGCAGGTCAAACGTGACTTTCCAGGTGTGTCTGGAAGGATGTTTCTGGAAGAGACTAGAATCTGAATCCACGGACTGAGTGTGAAACATCCACGCTCACCAATGCAAGTGGGCCTCGTCCAGTCCACGGATATGGCGGAGGAACGGTGAGTTTGCTCCCTCTCCCTCTTTGTGCACCATTGACTCCACCTCCCTCCCACTGAGGGCCTCAGCACCTTTGACTCTAGGGCCTGCAGGTGTGGACTGGGTCACCCCACTGGCTTTCCTGGGCCTCTGCTGGCAGATGGCGGACAGTGGGGCTTCTCGGCCTGCAGGATCCCGAGTCCCTCTGTAAATCTCTCTGCGTCTCATTGCTTTTGCGTCTCTGCAAGATGCTGACTCATTCACAGGTCCCCAAGAGACGCTGAAAACAGCAACGTCATCACCAAGTCACATTGAAAGAGACCTGATAGCCACGTCACATGCATCTGAATTCCTTCTACAGTGTCCTTGTCAGAGGCGGCCCTACCCCGGGCTTGAATACGTCCAGGGCAAGGCAGTGCGTCCTGCCCAAAGGCAGGCTCATTTCACTGCTGGAGGAATCAAGCTGTGGAATCATCCCGCTCACGTTCTCTTGACAAATTTCTTTCTCTGTGTCTTTCTGCCTTTAGTCCCGCTTCACTTTCTTAGAGCAACCCAAAATGAGCAGAAGGATTCCTTCGTAAGGCCACCCAGTGCCCCCCGGGCTGCAGCATCCACACAGACGCACACCCTTGACCCCGGGAAGACTGCAGTTGAGTGGAGCCTGGGAGAAAACCACAGACAGACCCCCACGGTTAAGGTCACATCTGCTTCTGCTATTTTTTAGTGGCTGGTGGAGCACTGGCCCAAAGGAGGAACCCTAGATGTCTTTGGAAACCCGAGTAGGCACAATAGCTACGACTGATGTCCTGTGGTTATTCTTCTGTCCCCACGTCAAATCTGGGTCTCTGTTTTTCTCCGGCGAAAGCCTGCACCACCTGCCAGGGTGACCCCAGCTCCAGCTCCCTGCTCTCCCACCTGCCGTGGCTCCCAAGTCTTGCAAGGATTCCAGCTGCACCCTGGTGGCGTGTCTGGGCGTTGTCTGCTGAGGCCTCCATGCTCTGTGACCGCATTCCCAGTCTAGATGGAGATCCCAGGAGCCTCTGAACGTTGAACACTTGCACGTGCATCTCACCACCATGGAGTTGGTGTGCTCTGGGTGCGCACTGCACACGTCTAGGGGGACCAGGAAGTGGGCTCTGGGGTGACATAGATAGGCAAGCAACTGCAGGGCGACTGTGCTAAGTAACAGAGGGTGGTGCCAGCCGGCCCTGGATTTGAAAGGAAGAGAAATGTGTAGTGTCGGCATGTTGTACAAGGTGCTCCTTGATGTGCAGGAGAAGGGGTAGGAGTTAAGACCGTTGGAAACCTCGTTAGTGTATCACTGCCCGCTCAACTTCCCACTGGTGGCAGCTGCCAGGGAAGCTGGGGGCTACCAGGGCATCCAGACTATGGAGGAAGAATTGGTTGGGTGCAATGCGTTTTCTTTTGAGGGTTTGCAGCTGGAGGTGCCACCAGCCTTTTGTGCTCTGCAGGGATCCCCGCCCCATCCAGCCTGATGAAGCATTCAGACTGGGGTGCGAGGCCAAGCACCACAGACATCCAGCTCCTAAGGGTGTGGCTCAGAGCAAGCCTGTCCATCGTGGTTCCAATCAGCTACAGTTGGCTCTGGGAGTCCTGGATTCTTTCTGAGCTGGTGCAGAGTCTGCATATGATTTCCTTGAGGTTATCCTCACTGGCTCATCTGATAAAGTCTGACACCCACTGGATCGCTGAGCCAGCCCACAAGCACATGGAGGTGCCTGGGGTGACATCTGTAGGCCACAGGGCCGTGGCCTTGGAAAGGGCCACAGGTTCCACTGTGCTGTTCGTGGTTCTCACAGAGCAGCTTGGAGAAGGCGTGACACCCTTCTGTTGCTACTGCTATGAGTGAGGTTGGCAATATCCCATGCCTGATAAGCAATTTAGGACAATCGTAACAAAGGGGAGGGCTTGTTCAGACCTTCTGGGAGGTGTCATTCATTCAGACATTCTTTGTTAGCTACTAGGAAGCCAACTGTGAGCTGGGGGGTGGGGAAGAGCCCCCAAGGCCCAGGTGGTCTGGATCCCTGCTCTGTGACCCAGTAGGATCGAGCACAACCAACACATACATTGACTATAGTTAGACCTAGAAGGCCATCAGTAGGGTTATAGATGTCTTGGTTTGCTGTTTTGTGTTGCTGTAATACAGTGCCTGATACCAGATGTTATAAACAGCACAGGATTCTTTCTTTTTTTTTTTTCCAAATAAAGATTTATTTATTTGAAAGGCAGAATTATGGAGAGAGAGGGAGAGACACAGAGATAGAAATAGATAGATAGATAGATAGATAGATAGATAGATAGATAGGATATCTTCTATCTGCTGGTTCACTCCCCAAATGGCCATAAAGGCCAGGGCTGGGTCAGGCTGAAGCCAGGAACCAGGAGCTTCATTGGGGTCTCCTGCTTGAGTTTTAGGGGCTCAAGCACTTGGGACATCTTCTGCTGCTTTCCCAGGTGCATTAACAGGAAGCTGGATTAGAGAGGTATAACCAGGACACACACCGGTACCCGTGTGGGATGCCAGCATAGCAGAGTGTGGTTTAATCCAGGGCCACAATAGCGACCCCTACGGGTTATTTCTTGCAGTCCTGGAGGCTGGGAGGTCCCAGGTGGTGGTGGGACCTGCATCTGGTGAGGGCTTCCTGCTATGTATCCCATGGGAGAAACAGGACAGGACAGTGGGCATTAGAGAGAGCAAGAGGGGAACAGATCCAGATTCTTCCTTTAGCAGGAACCCAGTGCGGTGATCTTGACATTCATGTTCAAGAGTGTGGAGCCCTCCTGGCTTTTAACACCTCTTAACACCTTTTCACCTCTTAACACCCCTCAACCTTGTTGCACTGGGGAGGAAGCTTCCTACGTGTGTGCACTGGAGAGACATTCAGACCCTAGCGATGAAGAAGCAATGAAGGCCAGCGCCATGGCTCACTAGGCTAATCCTCAGTCTGCAGCGCCAGCACACCAGGTTCTAGTCCCGGTCAGGGCGCCGGATTCTGTCCCGGTTGTCCCTCTTCCAGGCCAGCTCTCTGCTGTGGCCAGGGAGTGCAGTGGAGGATGGCCCAGGTGCTTGGGCCCTGCACCCACATGGGAGACCAGGATAAGTACCTGGCTCCTGCCATCGGATCAGCGCGGTGCGCCAGCCGCGGTGGCCATTGGAGGGTGAACCAACAGCAAAGGAAGACCTTTCTCTCTGTCTCTCTCTCTCACTGTCCACTCTGCCTGTCAAAAAAAAAAAAAAAAAAGAGGCAATGAGATAGCCCATGGAGACCAGATTACAGGGAAGGGAAAGCAGAGCTTGAGATCACAAAAGCAGGGGAGGGGGGTGACAGGCTGGACCTGATCCTGGACTCCGGGGAAAAGTGCTTGAGGGGAGAAGGGGGAGAGATGAACAACAGGGTTTAGACCTGCTGCCTCTGTGAGTGTTTTCCTGTCGTTTAAGGAGTCCAGAAGGCACTCTTGGTTGGGCAACACTTAGGATGACCAGAGTGAACCGACAAAAACACAGGATGCCCAGCCAAATTAGAAGTTGGCAAACACCTTTCTCCAGTATGTCCTGTAGAAAAACAGATTTCAAATTCTCCATAGTGGAAGCAAAAGGAAAAGTAGATGGAAGAAGAAGCCACACACCCCATCGCTAGTTAGAGGGATGCGACTCCAGGTTTTTTGATGTCCCCTCAGCTTTGCACAGAGTCCAGTCTTTCCCTTTGACCAGTGATGGCCCCCATCCCAAGGTGCAGATAGGTGGTCAGGTTGGGGAGAGCGTGGATGACTGAGCCTGGTCCTTTCTCTGTCGAGGATCCACCGTGGAAGTGGACAGTGGTGGCTCAAGCCGTTATTCTGGTGCCAACATATCCAGGGTCTGGCTTGTCATAGCTGAGCTGCACCCCAGCTGGAGTGTGTGGAGAAACCACTGAGCAATCCTTTGATATATCCAAGGCAGACCAGACAGGGTCAGAACGCTTCAGCATGTTGGCAAGGTGTTACCTTCATTCCTGACCCCTAGTAACTCCTTTTTTTTTTTTTTTTTTAATTTCTCAAACCATGTAGTGTTCTGTGTGTTAGCTTCTCTCACCAGAGTATACTGTAGATGACTTCAGATCAGGCAACAAATTTGAGGCGTAACCATGAATATCCAAATGGTTGCCCGGATCACAAGCTGACTTACGTCAATCATAACAGCAGCAAATGTCTGTGATTGTAATGATTCACATCAAGACCAGGGGGCTGGGCTGCACAGGGCCCGGCCCCTGCAGCCCAGGCAGACACGTGCAGAGTAGCCTGACGCTGTGTGTAGCAACCCAACCTACAGTCTCGTTACACACAACAGGCCATCATAATGAAATGCAGTTATTTTTTGTTTTATGGGGTATTTTCCCTCAATGATAAAGCTTTGCGTATGGTCCCTTCCCCTTCTGTGTAGCAATCCCTTCCAAAGCAAACATTCTGAGGTTGGAAGAATGAGACCTGCCTGGGTCTGAGAAAGTTAAAACTGTTGCTGGAGCGTCATAGCCTTATAATGTAGAGCAGGCAGGCTGCGCGCTCCGACTGATTTAATCATGAAATACCATTTCCTGGCTCTGCAGGCAAACAGTTCCACTTGGCCACGAGAGCTTTCTGGACAAAAACTCTATGCATATGCAGAACGGTATATTAGTAATTTTGAATTATTTCAAAAGGAAAGCAGAGTGGGGCCTTTGGAAGGCAAACGTGGAAGGGGTGATCGTTTCAATTCTTTGCGGATGATTTTGATGGAAAGTGTTAAGGCAACTTTGACAGGAAGTGAAACACGGCTATCAGTTTGAAGGGAGTTAATGAGGCCGCGCTGTTTGTGTCTTGTTTTGAACACAGCTGCCGACCAGTGTCTCCCTTACAATCATCTAGTTGGTTCTGCAAAGCAGACTCTGATCCCACTCCATTTCTTGGCCTGGTTGACCTTATTCTGCTTCAGACAGACAGCTGTTTGCTTAAGCTTTATGCATACAATGGTGCTCGGTGAACAAGCAGAGGTTTAAACAGGAGATATTCCCGTATTAAAGGAGTTTAACTCCCCAGTTTCCATAAAGCAGAAGGCATACGTAGGGTTGTGAATGTAGTAGCTAAGAATTTATTGCTCACTTTTTGTCTTAAAGATTTACTGTGTTTATTTGAAAGAAAGATTGACAGAGAGCGAGTGAGAACTTTTACCTGCCAGTTCAGTCCCCAAATGGCCAGACCAGAGCCAGGAGACGGAACTCCATCCAGATTGCCCACATGGGTGGTAGGGACCCAGAATACCAACTTTCAGATACAAAGACTCATAATTTTTCCACTAGTGAGAATAGTTCTAAAAAATGAGCGCATGACTTGAAAACCTGAAAGCACTTCAGCCTTGTATTAGGCGTCTCAGAGGGCGACCCCAGGTGAGCAAACAGTTAAGGGCTGGGAAGCTCCAGTGACTCCTGCACGTGGCCTGGTTCATTCTCTCTGTGCCAAACTGACAACGCACGCTGAGCACTCAGAACTGCAGCCAAGAGTTCATGGTCAAGGTCTTCCCTCCGCTGTCACTCTCTGTTTCTCCTCTAGTCTTTTTATTCCTATGCCAGATTCTCCAAGTCTAACGAAAGGAGGGCTGTGTAGGGGCGGAAGTGTCTGTTCTATCACGAAAGTCAGCATCGGCGTTTCCTGTCATGGTGACCGGTCAGTGCCTCACGTTCTGGAGATGCGGCAGCATTCCAATCAGGTTTTAACTTGTGGAAAACCAATGTGTTTCTGGGGCTGGTGTTTGTGACACAAAAGGGTTCAGCCGACAGATGAGTGCCGGTTTGAGTCTCGGCTGCTCTGCTTCCAGTCCAGTTACCTGCTAATGCACCTGGGAGGGCTGCAGATGATGGCCCAAGTCCTTGGACCCCTGCAACCCATGTGGTCTGAGCCATTTAGGGAGCCAACTAGCAGATGGAAGATCTGTTTTCTCTCTCTCTCTCTCTGTCTCTCTCTCATCCACTCCTCTTCATGTAACTCTGCCTTTCAAATAAAATCAATTGTAAAAAAATGCATTCATTCAAATTCTCCCTTGCAGTCAGCCTGTCGCTGTGCTCATGTTATTGACATGTACCACACATGTGGCATTTGCTTTATCAGAGTGGCTGAGCAACCTGGGGTTCTGGGCATGGACCTGCCTCTTCTGTGTCCAGGAGTGGTAGGACTTCTGGTCATGGCTCTCGTGGAGGCATGGGACTGCCCCTGGCCTTTTACTGTCCCCAAACAGCCCTGTTGCTGCAGAATGGGAACCAGGGCAGCTCAGCTCCACGTAGACTCACTCTCCTGGGGGAAATGTACATGGAAGTAAATCGTGGGCCACATGCCCTCACCTAGTGGGTTGTCAAGGCTGGCGAGTTTCCCTGCTAGTGGCTAACCCGTGAGGTCCATCCTGTAGAAGATGGATGGAGAAAATCATCAACCTTCTACAAAATCCCAAGAATGCACCTTTACACCCTGGGTCCTACAAGGGCGCACTTTCTACTGCAGACTAGAGCTCAAAGTTGACCAACAAGTGCAATAGGTTCGAGTGTGCTCATTGGACAGATTAAGATTTTGGGTCTTAAAGAGATGATATGTTAGAAGCATTGCTTTTATTGTTTTAATCTCATGCACTAAGTTATATCCAGTTGCTTTTTAGTAGGTGGCTTATATTCCTACACATTTGCAAGAACAAACACTTCATGTGCTAGGCAGTCCCATTTTCCACTTGCTATAGACTGAAGCCCAAACTTGTATCCCATAGGACAAAAAGGAAGATGGATTCCAGCCTTCTGGCTCCAAGGCCATGGCTCAGGATCCTGAGTGGTGCACTAACAATTTTCTCTGAGCACCTGAGTGGACTTTGCCTGCACTCACTGCTGCAGACTAGGCATCCTCTTAATTAGTTTTACTTATTATTATTATTTATTTGAAAGTCAGAGCTACAGAATGAGAGGGAGAGAGATACAGAGAAAGAGAGATCTTCCATCTGCTGGTTCCTTCCCCAAATGACAGCAATGGCCAGGGCTGGGCCAAGCCAAAGCCGGGAGGCAAGAGCTTCACCCAGGCCTCCCACATAGGTGTCAGGGGCCCAAGCACCTGGGTCACCTTCTGCTGCTTTTCCTAGGCTGTTAGCAGGAAGCTGGGTGAGCAGCCGGGATGTGAACCAGCACCTGTATGGGTTGCCGGTGTTGCAGCTGACAATTCTGCTGCATAAAGACAGGAAATAGAGGCCAATGTAGAAGCCACCAGCGGCCTAGTGACAGAACAGCCTCTGTGAGCTGTCATGCACGGACGCTATCTGTTCTCTAATGCATTAATCCTCTCAGTGTCGTGCACGCCTTTAGAACATACCCTGGCCTTGTGACAAGGCATTCCGGACTCTTGTTTTCCCCTTAAGCCTCCTGCTCAGCCTCAGACCTTTCTTCCCCTTTGTTCCAGAACTTTCTTCTGCTATCTTTTGCCTACTTCAGGAGAATATTAATATTCTGTTGCTCTTATGTTATAGATAGAGATGCATGTGATATTTTTAGCTTCATGACAATGTTAAACTTTTCCCTGACATGTGCCTTATACAACTTCCCCTGTTCGTTACATGTGTTTAGATATTGCAGTAGTACTTTACGGAGTGCATCTCTTCTTCCATTTTATGCGGGTTTATCTCTTAGTCATTTCCTTTTTGGCTTCCGTAGCATATTCCTGGGGAGCCTCGCAACTGTGGTGAAAACTCGTGGTTTTTCTGAGTTGGTAGCATTTCAAAAAATATTAACATTTTAGCTGGCGTCGCGGCTCACTAGGTTAATCCTCCGCCTTGCGGCGCCGGCACACCGGGTTCTAGTCCCGGTTGGGGCGCCAGATTCTGTCCCGGTTGCCCCTCTTCCAGGCCAGCTCTCTGCTGTGGCCCGGGAGTGCAGTGGAGGATGGCCCAAGTGCTTGGGCCCTGCACCCCATGGGAGACCAGGAGAAGCACCTGGCTCCTGCCTTCGGATCAGCGCGGTGCACCGGCTGCAGCCCGCCGGCCGCGGCGGCCATTGGAGGGTGAACCAACGGCAAAGGAAGACCTTTCTCTCTGTCTCTCTCTCACTGTCCACTCTGTCAAAAAATAAAAAATAAATAAAAAAAATTAAAAAATATTAATATTTTAAAAATTGTGTTTTACCATGAACTTGAACATTTTTGTATTTTCTTTCTTTATTAGAAAGGCAGAGAGAGAGAGAGAGAGAGAGAGAGAGAGAGAATCTCCCATTCTCTGGTTCACTCCCCCCACCTACAATAGCTGAGGCTGAAGCCAGGAGCCTGGAGCGCTATCTGTCTCCTACGTGGGTGGCAGGGACACAAGCACTTGAGCCGTCACTTGCTGCCTTCCAGAGTGAGCACTGGCCAGAAACTTTGCATGCGGAATGTGGGTGTCCCACCTCGCCCAAGCCTGACCCCTGAGTTGCTAACTTTACCTCCATAAAGGAAGAACTTGATCATTTCCACATCCAGCTATGATCTTGCCTTTGGGCTTGGAGAGTCTATTCTCAGGCACCATTATGTCTTTTAACATTTTACCCTTATTATGATGAATATTAAACATGTACAGAACTAGAACAAGCAACATAATGAAACTCACTCATCTCTTGGCCTCCGTAATAATCAACATTTTATTTTACCTATTCTTTGCTCTTTGTTGTTGCTGATTTTTTTTTTTACTTAGAGTAGTTTGAAGCAAATTCTAGATGGCATATCATTTTTTTTTTTTTGACAGGCAGAGTGGACAGTGAGAGAGAGAGACAGAGAGAAAGGTCTTCCTTTGCCGTTGGTTCACCCTCCAATGGCCGCCGCGGCCGGCGGGCTGCAGCCGGTGCACCGCGCTGATCCGAAGGCAGGAGCCAGGTGCTTCTCCTGGTCTCCCATGGGGTGCAGGGCCCAAGTACCTGGGCCATCCTCCACTGCACTCCTGGGCCACAGCAGAGAGCTGGCCTGGAAGAGGGGCAACCGGGACAGAATCCGGCGCCCCGACTGGGACTAGAACCTGGTGTGCCGGCGCTGTAAGGCGGAGGATTAGCCTAGTGAGCCGCGATGCCGGCCCGAAATTGTTCTTTAAACACCACAACCACTGCACCGCGTTCACCGCGCACACTTGATTTGATCACTGTGGTTTCCCCAGTAGGCGTGCACAGAAAAACTGCAAAGCAAAACAGCTTCTGCACGTGCTTTGTTGGATTCAGGAAACAGACAAGACCCCCACATGGCTCTTGGGTGGTGTCTCTCTCCGACCACTTTCAGTCTTTTGTAGCTCTTTCTTCCTTCCTCTGGCATTTAGTTATTGAAGAAACTGGGGCGTGGGTCCTTGTCCTGTGGGCTGTGTTATGCTTTAGCTTCTTAACCTTCTCATTGAAGAAGTGTCTGTCTGTCTTTCTTTTTAATCTCCCACACTTCCTGTAAGCTGGTTCTCTGCCAGGCTTCATGAAACTCAGGTTGTTTTCTTTCCAGCAGGAAAACTTTAGAGGAAAGCTGTGTCCTTCCCGATGTGTCAACACAAGGGAAGCCATACTGTCTGGTCATCTCACGTTTAATGCTGTCTACACTGATGGGTGAGTTCGGGAGTTGTAGCTGTCGGCATCACCAGCCTTTTGCATTTTCATGGTGGGTGGGAGGGTTGGGAGCGCCGGTTAGAGTCTGGACTCTCCAGGTTAGTTATGGGTCCTGCTTGCCCGCTGCTCTGTGTGACTCAGCCGTGTGTGTGTGCGTGTGTGTTTGGGGGTGCTGCACTGCTGGGGGAGCTCCGTGTGCAGAGCCTTGGCACCGCGGGAAGGAGAGGTAGCTGTGATCCGCTGGCGTGGTTGCAGCAGATGGAATTTGTTGGGCTGACCTTAGCGGTTCTCCTCCGTCAGAAATCCTGCTCTCAAGGATCCGACAGCTCCCACGGCTGGGCCATGGGTGGATTAAGAGGAAACCTGTGGGCGGCCGCGCTTGCTGTCCGGTTGTAATAGCTCAATAGAGATGATGGTTCTGCGGGCTTCGGGTCCTGCGGGCAGAGCTGAGAGGTCTGTAAATCCACAGTCGCCTTTCCAGTCCTGGCCTTTGCAGTCCTGGTTTGCCAGGGGTGTCACTGAGATGAAGATAGATGGTAACGACTGCGTTTTGGTAATTCACTTTGCTGAAGTCAGTGCTCAGCCGTGTTCCAGGCGGGGCCCCATCTGGTTCCAATCAGGGGGAGGGGAGCGCCGTGTCTGTGCCGACGCGGGGAGAGCGGAGCGGAGCAATTAGCCAGCAATAAGGGGGAAGGGGATGGCGTGGACCACCAGCTGGGCCGGTTCTAGTCCAAGTTGGCCGGGAAACCCAGCCGCCGCAGCGGCTTCCCTTCTGCGAACAGCCAATGTAGTGAGCCCCTACTAGGTGCCAGGCACTGCTCCAGGTGTGTGGGGCAGGTCAGCAGCAAGTCCAAGCTCCGAGCTGGGGCTCAGTCCAACTGGCAGGTGGGCAGCAGCGGGGCGGCTGACGAGGAATGGAGAGAATCCTCGAACTACGGAGGAGGCAGAGAGGGGAAGAGCAGCTGAGGGGGCTTCTTGGACCCTGGAAGGCTGTGGCTTGCAGTTTTGGGTGGGATAGTCGGGGAGGGTGGTCCTGGCTGACACGATCCGGCAAGACAAGGTTGGTTTCTTTAGACCCCGCCTGCTCGTCACGGCCTTGCTCTGCGTTGTCGAGTTCTGCATCCGTGGATTCGACCAACTGCGGGTGGGAAACACATGCGAGCAACTTGCATCGGCACTGAACACGTGCAGGTGTTTTCATGCTAGGATTCCCTACACAGCACAGCACAGCTACGCACAGCGTTTGTGTGGTCAGGTATTCTGCGTCACCCAGAGACGGATGGAAGCAAGTGTGCAGGCCGTACGTACGTACGTGCTACGCATGGTGCATTTGTGGATTTTAGAATCTGAAGGGGCTTCCAGGATCCGATTCTCCATGGATACCGAGGAGTGGCCATAATGGCTGAGCTCGGAAGGCCCACTGCTGCCAACATCCCTGTCCCTATGTCACCTGTTCCTCTGCTGCCTGTCTTGGAGGGACCCAGGCCTGGCCCTGCTGCTCCGCCATGATCATATTGCACTTCAGAGAAGCCTCAGCTTGGGCGTTCGGGGCATCCACACGGCGTCACCACCACCACCACCATCGTCCGAAGGCCCCCAAAGGCCCCACGTGGGAGAGTCGTGTGCGAGCCACACGTGAGCGTGGTGGAGGAGCTCTCCCTCGCCTGGCCCGGCGGGTGGGGCCGGCCCGGGCTTTTGTTTGCTGCAGGAAGGCGGCTGTGAGCGGGCCTCGGTGTAACCTGGCTCTCCCTCTCTGTCGAGGGAGATTTTCACCCGATGAATCACGCCTCCCATGCTTGCTGGAGCCAGAGATCTTTGGCTCCCAGGCTGTTTACTGCAGCATGGACTTTGTCCTGTAAGTGTTCTTAGGAAATGACAAGGGACAGAAAATTGTCATTGTTTTTGCTTACAAAAAAAAAAAAATCTGGAGGCCTGGGACGGAGCCAGTGCTGGGTGGAAGGGTGTTCCCACCCACTGGACTTTTGGGGGTCGTGCAGGGCAAGCTGGGGCTGGCCGCTGTGTCAGTGTGCTGTTGGTGCAGGTGAGGCCTGGCTGCCTAAGCAGTGGGCGGAATGATTTCACCTGCCCCAGGTTCTGGGCGGTTCTGATTACTGCCCAGCCTGGGGATAGCACCATGTGCTCCTGGTCACAGGCGTGGTCCTGGGACTCAGAACTGGCATCGCGTAGGGTCCAGACTCGGCCTCTGTGCCTTTGTCTTTCCCCTTGGAATCCTGGCTCGCTCTGAGTCACGGCTGTTGATGCACTATGCTTCTTATTTTTTTTAAAGATTATTTATCTGAAAGGCAGAATTACAGAGAAAAGGAGAGAGATATCTTCCATCTTCTGGTTTCCTCTCCAAATGGCTGCAGCCAGGAGCCAGGAAGCTTTATCTGGGTCTCCCACATGGGTGCAGGGGCCCAAGCACTTGGGCCATCTTCTGCTGCTTTCCCTGGTGCATTAGTAGGGAGCTGGATCAGAAGTGGAGCAGCCGGGACTCGAACCAGTGCCCACATGGGATGTTGGCGTTGCAGGGGGCCAGCTTAACCTGCTGCACCACAGCGCCGGCCCTGGACTTTGCTTATTTCAGCACACCCTGTGAATCGCTGAGACAGGAACACCTGTAATGAGTGATGCTGCCTGGAACCCATGGCCGCTTCGCTAAGTGACTTGGATTCAGAGCCTGCCCAGTCAGAGGGACGGCGAGGATCACTCACTGCACCTTGCCCAGCTCCCAGGTGCAGAGGGAGGTGGGCAAGTGGAGTAGGTTTCCCAGGCAGAGGCCTCGGGCCCAGGGCACTCCTCACCTGTCCCTGCCCTCCCCAACAGGGTCAGCTGGAGCCTTGCCTGTCCACTCTCGCCCCTGCGACTTGTCCATTTCAGGGGTCAGCTGGTGTACAAGGTGACATTGGTATGTGTCACTGTCCGTTGGGCTCGCATGAGCAGGGCTGTGTCTGGTGGACCTTGTTCTCTCTCTCTCTCTCTCTCTCTCTCTCTCTCTCTCTCTCTCTCTCTCGGCCAACTTCCTCCTGCCACTTCTGGCCTGGGGGTGGAGGGACTCTGCCTCCCTGGTCGGTGTGATGGGCTTACGCAGGTGGGACTGTGGGGCTTGTGTGTGGGTGCTGATGGCCTGGGTGTGCTCCCGTTCTGCATGTAGCAGCCATGTGTGAGACATGTGACTCGGCTTCGCTTCCTTTTCGGACCTTGGATGTGGCGCCTTTGGCCTCTCCTTCCCCTTTGTCACGTTGGAAGAACTCGCCAAGACCTCACGGAGCAGCTGCGGAGTTTGTCTGCCGCTCTCACACAAAGGCTGGTCCCGAGCAGCCCCCTGGAGCCCTGGGAGACCTGGCAGTGTCTCAGGGCACAGAGGCCTCCAGGGCACCTGCGGCACCAGAGGAGGAGATGGGTGATGCCGTGGGGAAGCGAGGAGACCCAGAAGGCATGCAGGTGTGCCCTGGCGGAGGCCAGGGTGTGTGCCACTGCCGCAGTGGCGGGCTGAAAGAGAAAGTGCCATTTGGCGCCGTGGTCACCGTGCCTCTTGGAAGTGAGTGGTGCACGGGTTTGGGACCTGTCTCTGCTTCTCACCCAGCTTCCCACCAAAGCACACCCTGTGCGGCTGCAGGTGGAGGCTCTAGGACTTGGGTGGGAGACCTGAACTGAGTTCCTGGCCCCTACAAGCATCACTGTGGGGATCTGGGGTGTGGATCATCAAATGGAAGGTCTCCAGTCTCTGTCTGTCTCTCTGTTTCAGATAAAATGAAAAGAAATAAAAATTGATAAAAAAGGAAAAAAAAACCTTTCCTATGACCTGGAGCACCCTTTAATCCCCAGTGGCCTATCTGCAGAGCTGGTTGAGTTCACTACCTTGAGAGATGGAAAATGTGTGTCTACTGGTGTCCATGCTGGGTGACTGCTACGATGTATCCATCGACCATGTCTATTTTTTTTTTTTTTGTATTCAAATCTTCTTTATTGAAAAGCACTATTGGAAATGTCCAGTGATCAGATGAGACAGTTTTGGATACCTAATAAACAGCATGGGTACTACAGTGTGTAATTCGGAAGGAAGTGCTTAGCCCATCGGGGGAGATACACACATCCACATCACAGTGCCTAAGTTCCGTTCCCGACGCTGGCTCCTGACCCCAGCTTCCCGCCAATGCCGACCTTGACCCCAGTAACCAGGCTCTTACAACCCACATGGGAGACCTGTCGGAGTCCCTGCTCCTGGCTTTGGCCCTGGCCCAGCCCCAGCCCCAGCTGTCTGTGGGCATTTGGAGACAGGACCAGTGAGTGAGAATGCTCTCTCTCTTTCCTATCTGCCTTATCTCTCTGTCTGTCAAATAAATAAAGTTTTTTTTAAAAAATATACTATTATATTTACTGAGTTCTTGAATTTTGCTGGGACTGTAGACAGCATACAAAAACACATGAGGTGAGGGATATGTTAATTAGCATCATTATAGTCATCATCTGACACTGTATATGGACAGTCCAGCGAAGCCTCAGGCACTACACCTGCTACACAATGTTGATTTGCCAATTATACTTCAGTAAAGCTTGGGACACACACGCTACAGGGCAAAAGGAGACAATGGCACAGCCCCCCGGGCCCCACCTTGAGCCCCTCCGCGGCTCCCGCATCCTCAGATGCTCACACACCTGCTGCTTCCTCTCTGAGCCCCTCACCCGTCTCCAGCTCTTCCCTTCGGCTGCTCCGTGGGGAGGAACCTTGCCATCTAAACCCAGGGCACTGGCAGGAGCCTCATCCTCTGACTCCTGTGTCCCCTGCATCCCCTGGATCCCACAGAGCCTCCATCTTCTCCCTCCTGCCAGGCAGCCGCTCCTGTCCATCACGTGTCCCTGTCCCCGTCTCTCCTGACAACTCTGCCACCTGCCTCCTCCTCCCGGGCTCTCCCCTCCCATCCCCCCCATCCACCCCGTGCCTTCTATGCACTTCCTCTGGGGGACCCCGTGAGTCCCCTGCCCTCACTCCTCCCAAGCACCATGTCTGCGAGCCGCCCTGGCCACCAACATCTCTGCAGGGCGTTCCGGTAGCGTCTGAAACCAGCATCGTGAACAGCAGTGCTCACCACGGGGTTCCTGGCTCTCCAGCCCTGGCCGGGCACAGCAGCACCTGCCCCTCCTTCTCACCTGGCCCTCCGTGGGCTGTGCCTTCCCCTCAGCAGGGCCCATTTGACCAGCAAGTCCAGCGGTTCCCCCTCTGTCTCTGTGCAGTTATGCCTGACTCAGCGATCGATGGTCCTCCACTGCCCAATCCCTGCAGCCACTGCTGCCTGTGTGGTGCCTCCGCATTCCTGGCCAGACCAGCCGGAGCACTGCCCAGCTAAGGGAAATCCTGGCTCTGTTTCCTCCCCTCCCTCGCCAAGGGAGTGCAGCCGTGGGGTTCACGCAGCAGAATCCGCAGCTTCAGGCTCATCTCCCAGTCCAGCCGCAGGAATGGTCTCTCTCCCCGGAGCTGGTCCCTGCTTGCTCCTCCCTGCCTCAGGAGTGCGCACAGGTCTGCAGCCAGTAAACCGTGACGTCCCAGCAGGCTGTCTCCTGGGGTGTTCTTTCCTCCCATGCATACCCTCATTCAGGACTGTGTAGAGACGGGGAGCTCCTGTGTGTGTGCAGCTTGCCCAGCTGTTGCGATCTCCTTCTAGAATGTTCTAGAAGGCCGGTGACCTTCCAGAAGCTACATGTAGATGGCACCTTGGTCTCAACAAGGGTTTTGAGCTTCAAGTCACCGCTTGTTACCATGTCCCTCCTGTTAGAGTACGGCCTGTGGCGACAGTGTCCCCTCTGTCACCCCGAGCACCCTCTGTCACCCCGAGCACCCTCTGTCCCAGCTGATACTGGGGTTCTCAGATGCTCACGCCTTCATCCACAGTGGCTCCCGCCCGAGCGCAGAGGTGGTCTCCGTGCCTCTCTGCCGCAGCTCCTGTTACTGGCAGTCCTCGCTCTGTCTGGCCAGTGTTGCCTTTTGCTTCTTCTCTTGTTGAATTTGAGAGAGAGAGAGAGAGAGAGAGAGAGAGAGAGAGAGATTGCAGTCTGCTGTTCACTCATTCATTTCCCAACTGGCTGCCAAGGCAGGCAGGGAGGGGCTGGACCAGGCTGAAGCCGAGAGCCAGGAACTCAACTCATGTCTCCCGCATGGGTGGCAGAGGCCCCATCGCTGTTGCCATCATTGCTCACAGCAGGAAGAAGCTGGAGTCAGAAGCAGAGCTGTGGTACCGGCGCTGTGGTGTAGCAGGTAAAGCCTCTGCCTGCAGTGCCAGCATCCCATACGGGTGCCGGTTCGAGTCCTGGCTGCTCCACTTCCGATCCAGCTCTCTGCTGTGGCCTGGGAAAGCAGTGGAAGATGGTCCAAGTCCTTGGGCCCCTGCACCTGCATGGGAGACCTGGAAGAAGCTCCTGGCTCCTGGCTTCGGATCGGCACAGCTCCTACCATGTGGCCAACTGGGGAGTGAACCAGTGGATGGAAGACCTCTCTCTCTCTCTGCCTCTCCTTCTCTCTGTGTAACTCTGACATTCAAATAAATAAATAAATACATTTTTTTTTTAAAAAGAAGAGGAGTGAGCCCAGATACTTCTCATGTGGGATGCAGGCGTCCTAACTCCTGGTGTCATTTCTCAACGCCGCATCTCGCCTCTGCCCTGCCTGAACATCAGGAGTTCAACACCTTCCATTTTTTCCCCCTTCCTTTTTCTGGAACAAAGACAGCATCCTTCCCTGGCCCCCAGCGCTCCCCGGTTTGGCCCCTGCCCCACTCTGCTGATGCTGATGTCAACACAGCCCCGAGCTCTTGGGCTGGCCGCTGGTCTCACTGTCCTGCCCCTTTTTGGCCTGGTGAAGTCGCTGGGCCACCAGACCTTGGCTAAGTGGTGAGCTCCTCTGAGCAGGTGGGCCCGAGTCCCAAAGGGTAGCAGTATGCTTGCTGCTGGTGCATGGGGCTCCCTGGGCAGCCCCTCCCAAGTCGTGACTTCACAGGGGCTCCCGCGATGATGTGGGTATCATTCCCAATCAGGGGACAATCTGAGGACATTGGACCAGAGGCCGGCAAGTCTCGGGGTTCCCACATCTCGAGAGTCTCCTAATTTGGCTGCCGTTTTCTGTCCCTTACAAAGCTGAGGCAGGGACCAGGTCAGACCAAGAAGGGAATGACTCACCCCGCTGCCCGGGTCACCCAGAGGAAGCCTTGTGTGGACAACAGGGGTCCCCCAGAGGAATTCCAGCAGCGCCAGGAATGGCAGCAGGGTTCCTGCGTCTCCAGTGAGCCAGTTCCGGGCTCCCTGCCACCCTTCCGTCCGTCTCTGTGGCTTCCTCGCGGGCTGGTCCTGCAGCCTGACTCCTTCCGGCCAGTCGGCTGCAGCTTGGGGTCCTCTTGCCGCTCACCCAGGCTCAGACTCTCCCCTGGCCCCACTCCTGCGGGCAGTGGAAGAAGCCGCACCTGACCTCCTCTCTGCAGGCCATCACCACTTGAATGGCCATGAAAATGCATAAGGAGATGGAGGAGGGGTTGCTTACATCCTCTCTACCCCACCAGCCCTGAATCTCGCCCTGGCCTCCGGAGCGGACCCTCAACTCAACTTTCTTTTTTCTTTTTGACAGGCAGAGTGGATAGTGAGAGAGAGAGAGAGAGAGAGAGAGGTCTTCCTTTGCCGTTGGTTCACCCTCCAATGGCCGCCGCGGCCAGCACACCGCGCTGATCCGATCGATGGCAGGAGCCAGGTACTTCTCCTGGTCTCCCATGGGGTGCAGGGCCCAAGCACTTGGGCCATCCTCCACTGTACTCCCTGGCCACAGCAGAGAGCTGGCCTGGAAGAGGGGCAACCGGGACAGAATCCGGCGCCCCGACTGGGACTAGAACCCGGTGTGCCAGCATTGCAAGGCGGAGGATTAGCCTAGTGAGCCGCGGCGCTGGCTTTTTTTTTTTTCAACTCAACTTTCAAGTCAGGGGCTGCAGGTGGCCAGCGTGGAGCACCCCAGAGGGAAGGGACGGGGGACTGAACAGGTGCACAGATTTAACAGGCAGGCGGGCACAGGCAGCCCCTGATGTGGAGTTGGGCCCGTCTGGCCAGAGGTGAGCAGTCCCCAAGTCCCCGGGCATGGCAGCTGCATCCTGGGACTGAAGGAAGCCTGGCGGTGTCTCAGGCATGGGGAGGGCGGCGGCCACATTGTGTTAGGTGATCTTGCCTGACTGCAGGTTAATGTCAGTATTTTCAGGATGTTTAAGGCCGACTGGGCTATCAATGCAAGAGGATTGGTAGGTTAGAGTTTTTTTTTTTTTTAATTAAATTTATTTATAAAAAGGGAAAAAGTTTCATGTATCTCATATATACAGTTTTTTTTTTTTTTAAGATTTGTTTATTTATTTGAAAGGCAGAGTTACAGAGAGGCAGAGGCAGAGAGGAGACAGAGAGAGGTCTTCCATCTGCTGGTTCACTCCCCAGTTGGCTGCAACGGCCAGAGCTGCGCCGATCTGAAGGCAGGAGCCAGGAGCTTCTTCTGGGTCTCCCTTGTGGGTGTAGGGGCCCAAGCACTTGGGTCATCTTCTACTGCTCTCCCAGGCCATATTAGAGAGCTGGGTTGGAAGAGGAACAGCTGGGACTCGAACCGACACCATATGGGATGCCGGCACGGCAAGCGAAGGCTTTACCCATTATGCCACGGCGCTGGCCCCTCATACATACAGTTTTTCTTTTTTTTTTTTTTTTGACAGGCAGAGTGGATAGTGAGAGAGAGACAGAGAGAAAGGTCTTCCTTTGCCGTTGGTTCACCCTCCAATGGCCGCCGCGGCCGGCGCACCGTGCTGATCCGATGGCAGGAGCCAGGTGCTTCTCCTGGTCTCCCACAGGGTGCAGGGCCCAAGCACCTGGGCCATCCTCCACTGCACTCCCTGGCCACAGCAGAGAGCTGGCCTGGAAGAGGGGCAACTGGGACAGAATCCGGCGCCCTGACCAGGACTAGAACCCGGTGTGCCAGTGCCGCTAGGTGGAGGATTAGCCTATTGAGCTGCGGCGCCGGCCCATACACACAGTTTTAAAAGCATAATGATACTTCCTACCCTAGGGATATTAAATACACTTTGGAGGACGTTGGAGCAGCGGTTAAGACACCTGCATCCCATATCAGAACGCCTGGATTGGAATCCCAGCTCCACTCCTGATTCTGGCCTCCTGCTATTGCACACCCTGGGAGGCGCCAGATAAGGGCTCAGCCACCCGGTCTGCTGCCCCCTAGTGGGAGCCCTGGGTTGATTTCCTGGCTTCCAGCTTTGGCCTGGCCCAGCCCTGGGCAAATGGGGGCTTTTAGGGAAGTGAACAAGTGGTTGAAAGACATCTTACAGTCTCCCCGTCTCTGCCTGCCTTTCAAATACATAAATTAAAAAATGTATTTTCACATCATGCTATTTTTAGCTTAAGGCGGGGTCCATGGACGCTGTGTCAGCCACTGGCATGGGTGGGAGTGGTTATTTCTGCTGGCTCTACCTCCTGGTGTGCTCTTCGGGGTGGGTGGGGGGCTAACACTATGGGCAGCAGAATTCCCCTCCTCCCACTCCCGGGAAGCTTTGTGGAATCCGCCAGTGCA